AACTTTACAGAACTTGAAACAAATCTTATCTTTTACATTTCAATTTCTTTAACCTTTCAGAAGGAGTGTGGTGGGGGTGGGCACAGTGGGCCACTTCACCTTTTGAATATAGCCCTCCTTGCTCTCAGGCTTATTTTTAAAAGAACATGTTTTTTTCTCTTCTCCCCCTCCCCCTGTCTAACAAGATTAGGGTGACTGTGTTATCTTCCCCTAGTTAATTGCCCATGAACACACTTGCCAAGGAAGGAGCTATCTGCCAGAGGATCTAAGAAGTGAATACCTAACACAGTTAGGGTGGCCCCGGACCCCCTACTGATGCAACCCTTGAAGGAGTTCTTTAAAATCCCCCTGTTCCTCCTGATGGACAGAATTGCAGCCTCTGGGACAGGAATCCCCTGTGTTTCTTCTTTACTTGCAAAGCAATAACACTTTTTTCCTTTTTCTCAAGACTGTGCCCTCATGATTAAGTTGGCATGAATTGGCATCACTGGGAACAAGGACTGAGATTGTGGTAACAGTTGGATCTCAAGGCTTGGCACAGAGGCAACCGTGGAAATGCCCTGACTTGATGGGACAGCTCATGAAGGGCTCTGAGATGCAGAGCTCTAGAGCCCCACCCCAGCAGGCAGGCAGCCTCCTGCCACAAGCTTTCAACACCAACATTTTATTAGTCCCATGTCCCATTTCCTCAAGGCCACCTAGTTGACACTGAACAGCTTAGTCTGGTGGCTAATCGCAGCTTAGAGACTTCTGGGACAAGGAGTCATGTAGCAATTCCAGGCATAGAGCCAAGTAGGGAAAAGGGAAAGTTTGAGGAATTTCTAGTGTCCCACTCCACAGTGAGTGTCCCAGCTACCCCAGATAAGTTGACTTCTGTATCGGGAGGGGAGAATCATGAGGCACTGGAACCAAACTCCCAGTGGAAGAGGAGTAGAGGACACACAGGGAGCAGCGCTGGGTATCACCCTCTTGTTAGACTTGTCGGCATTGAGACGAGGCAGAAAAGCATGGCAACTGTTATGGACTGAACTTGTGACATTCCCCCACTGCCACCAGAATTCACATACCTCAGAATGTGGCAGTATTTGGAGATAGGGCTTTTCCAGAGGTAACTAAAGCTGATTGAGGTCACATAAGTGGGCCCTAATCCAATATGATGTGCTTATATGGAAAATGCGAGGACCCACCGAGGTGGGCAGAGCGGGCAATCATGTGAGGACACAGAAGGTGGCTATTAGCAAGCCAAGGAGAGAGGCCTCAGGAAAAAGTAAACTTACTGACCCCCTGAATTTGAACCTCTAGCCTCCAGAATTGTGAGAATATTTATGTTGCTATGCCACCCAGTCTGTAGTATATTGTGATGGCAACCTTAGAAAACTAATATAGTGGTTAAGATAAAGAACTCTGGAGCCAAGGCAGGAGGCTTGGACTCCAACCTGGCCCCATCCCTTATTAGCAGTATCATCTTGCTTTTCTGTGCCTCAGTCTCCCAGAGGATAAGTGGGCATGGTTATAGAAACTACTTCTTAGGTCGTTGTGACAAGGAAATCATTAACAAAGCATTCAGGGGCTGGGGCTGGGGCTCGGTGGTACAGCACTCGCCTACCATGCAGGAAGCCCTGGGTTGGCCTCAGCACTGCCAAGAAACAAAAAAAAGGTGGGGGAAGGGGGAAGCCAGGCACAGTGGCGAATGCCTGTAATCCCAGCCTCTCGGGAGGCTGAGGCAGGAGGATTGTGAGTTCAAAGCCAGCCTCAGCAACGGTGAGGTGCTTAGCAACTCAGAGAGACCCTGTTTCTAAATAAAAGACAAAAGAGGGCTGGGGATGTGGCTCAGTGGTTGAGTGCCCCTGAGTTCAATCCCCAGTACACCCCCAAAAAAAGAAAACAATTTCTGATATTCAATAAGTATTCCAGGATGCTCATTAAATAAATTTTATTTATCTGGTCAAAGGTCCCTATTATTGAGAGACTCAGAGTTGTGTAAATTAAAAAGTGTCACGAGGTAATAAGTGTTTCTATTGTAGCAACTCTTTACCCTTACCACCCTGGGAGGCTGGTGAGGGCAGAATTTTTTCATCTATGTATGAAAGGGATTAGCAAAAGATGCCACCTGGAAGAACTTACTAAACCAAAGAATTTCCAAATATCCTCTGCTGATGCCAGACTATGTCATGGCTTAGTGACAAATTCTCCATGCAAATAGCAGGTGACATTTCTAAAAGTTTCTATGTAGTTCCTTTTCAAATTAACTATATTTTTAAAAGTTTTTTGTTATTTGTTGCTATTTTCTAACTTTGAATTTTGTGTGCACTATTTTCTTAAAACCTGTCTGTATATTATAATATCTGAAATCTATGTTAATCTGTTGGTTCTTCGCATTGTCTTGGGAGTCTGGTATCTCTGTGATGGGCATCATACTTGAAGAATTATTTATGGTGGTTCCCTGAAACCAAAGATGGATATGCCCTTCTCCAGAGAGGGTTTGTATTTGCTTTTGTCAAGGGTGTGGGTCACTCTTCATTATTTATCACCTCAAGCCAGGTTCCCCGTTTGTAGCTTGATTCACCAGTCTCTACTTCCTGGGCTGCGCTAGAACTCGTCAATGGTTACAACTTCCCAAGGAAGGGCTTTCAAACAATTAATTTGTCCTTTCTCTTCAACTTTTCTGCTCAACCCCAGACAGTGTTTTCTGCACTTCCCTGGGCCCAGCCAATCCGGTTGCACAAGTTCTTCATGTTGTCAGTGGGTTCTTATCGCATTAGACCAAAAAGTGAAACTCTTGGGGGGGCAGTATCTCAGCTTAATGTGAGGAGATTCTGCTTTAAGACTCCCCACTTTGGGCAGGCCATGGGCTGACACTTCTCTCCCTCTTTTCCTGTGTGGTTGACAAACTGAAACTCACAGTTTCAATATTTGCAAATGCCCTCATATCATAAGTGGCTTGAGTGCACCAGTATTTGAATTCTATTGTTTATTATCTTATTACCAGCTTGCACTCAATAATTGGCCCAGACATTCCTCACACTGTTTAGCATGTCAGTGTTTATAAGAGGATATATATCACACATACATATATGTGTATACAAATACATGCCTTTTTGGTATATAAAATCTTTATTAATAGAAAATGCCTATAGACTCATTTCTTCTTGGACACACTATGGTACAGACATGGTGACCAGTGGTCTTGGTGTTCTGGCCTCAAATGTGAAGTGCCCAGAAGTGGCACAGGCCTCTATCTTCTTCAGTTGCTCCCCATCTTCACAGAGATTGTTGTGCAGATCATTGGCCAGAACTTTGGGTGTCTGGTATCTCTGATTTTTTGCTGGTCATCATGTGCTGGCTATATTTTCCACTCTTTACATCTTTCTATCTGTTCAAGAACCAATCTGGAAGCCAGCAGCTTGTGAGGCTGAGCAGGAGGATCTCGAGTTCAGAGGCTCTAAGAAACTCAGTGAGACACCGTCTCTAAATAAAATACAAAATAGGACTGGGGATGTGGCTCAGTGGCCAAGTGCCCCTGAGTTAAATAACTGGTTATCCCCTCACCCCCCCAAAAAAGTTTTATATACTATCTAAGAAATTAACTTTTTGGAGGAATGATTAACTAAATAAATTAGTTCACCATTACTAAAGGGGAAAAAAAACCCAGAAAATCCAGTTTTAATAATAAAATAGATCCAGCAATTCTCTTCTTCACTGGGCTTTGATGTTGTCCTCTGACATTGCTTGATCCACCAGTCTCTACTGGCAATAATATCATGAGGTAAATATCGTATGGTCCAAGGGGACACTAGTACAAGTCACAGCCATCAACCAGTCGCAGATGCTCACTCCTGTAATCCCACTGACTCTGCGGAGGCTGTGGCAGGAGGACTGAAAGTACAAACCAGCCTGGGCAATTTAGCAAGACCCTGTTTCGAGATAAAAATAAATAAATAAATAAACACAAATGGCAATGTAGCCTAGTGGTAAAGCACCCCTGGGTTTGATCCTCGGTCAAAAAAAGAAAAGTCACAGCTATCAGTCAGTGTGTAGCTGTTAGCCAGTGTCAACCCCACACAGTAATGTCATATGTAAGTGTCACCCATAAACGCTATGAAACATGGAAGCCCCAAGCTGTATTGCCAAGTCGTATTGCTTCCAAAAGCATGTATGGATTAGGGTTACATCAAAAACAAAACGAAAAAGAAGACTAACAGGGAGCAGTGCTATTTTCCATGGGATATCTAGGAAAGCCTCTCTGATAACATGGTGTGTGAGCTGAAACCTGAAGGTTGAGAAGAAGTCAGCCATGGGAAGAGCTGGGGGGGCGGGGGGACGCATACCCGGTGGGGAAATAGTTACGGTGCAAAGGGTTTGAGGCAGAAGGGTTCTTGGCAAGCTCAAGGAACAGAAAGGAAGCCTGTTGGGTGGAGAGGAGCGAGTGAGGTGGCAAGTGAGGAAGGTAGCACTAGTGAGGGAGGCAGGGGCCAGGGCATAAAGTTCTTTTCCTGTGGACCCTGGGGAGGAGTTTGGCTTTTAAGAGTTGGTGGAAGTCACTTAGGGTGTCACTTGATTTATGCTCTGAAAAGATGGTCGTGATGTGGGCTACCAAGTCAGAAGCGTCAAGCCAGGTTCCTCCTTATGTCACCACCTAAATCGTCTGTTCCAACTACAACAAGCCCACCTCTTCCTGGAAGCCTCCCTGCTGGCCCATGGCTGCCACACCCCCTTCCAAGCCCCTCGGTGAACCGAACACGCCTCTAAGGAAAAGTGGCTTCTAATTGGACAACTGCAGGTTTGCCAACCTTCCGGAGGCAAAGTCATTGTGATTGGCTAAAGCTCTCCTCTCCCTTCCAATCAGACGGTTATTTTTAAGAGTGAAAGCATCCCATTATTGTTGTGGACGAATAAGCTTTTGTGATTGGCTCACTCTACATGAGTGACGGCAGATGTAGCCTATGGGTACAAAGACGTGGCGGCGCTTTCCGTAGGCGGTGAGCTGTGCTACCTCAAGCCGGGCCGGTCAGTGTGAGTCCAGCTGAGTCCATCAACCCCTTTTGCCTCCCGCGCTATGGCCGCTCCGCCGCAGCTACAGGCTCTACTCAAGGCGGTCAACGCACTGCTGCGCAAGCGCCGCTACCACGCTGCGTTGACCCTGATTAAGGGCTTCCGGAACGGGATCGTGTGAGTGGGGCGATAGGGCTGGGAGGGGCTGAGGAACCCGGCCAGGTTGAGTTGGAGACGCGAGTTCGAGGCCCGGCGCCGCTGCCTGTTGTGCCCTTGAGCAGCCGTCGCGTGTCTCTAGGACTCGGTGTCCACCATCTGTGCAGTGGGAGCCGGGTTTTGACTTCCAAACGCCTTGCCATCTCTGAGCCAGGGCTCCCACTGCGCTGTTTCTGGATCCTCCCGTGCCAGCACCTGTATCCCCTTATTTGGGCCCAGTTCATTCAGCCTGGCAGTGCACCCTTTGGCCTATCTGGCTTCTGCGGCCCTTCTACACAAACTGGACTCTGGCCTCTAGCAGGCACCTTCTGTCTATGTGCACCCATTAGGCTGCCTTTGGGCTCACATCCTTCGGCGCTAAGTCCTCATCTGACACTGGGGACTCCTGGGGGAAGTCAAAGAAAGTAAGAAAAGCAGCAAATATTTGCTGGGCAAATTGATTTCACCTCTTTATAACCTGAGGAGTGAGGTCTTGGGGTCATTTCACCTGGCTGGTGCCCTAAAGGGAGCTTGGCCACCTTTAAACCTCATGCGTGACAGCCACCATTTATTGACAGCCTACTGTGTTGGAACTGGCGACCAAGCAGAGAACCAACCAAAGACCTGTGTTCCCCTGAGATGACATTCTTGGTGGCAAAATGGCATGGTGGCAAGCATTTGCACTGTCAAGATTTGAATCCTGGTGCCACCTATCTGTGTGATCTTGAGCAAGTCATTTAACCTCTTTTAGTCTCAATTTCTGTAAAATGAAACAGTAGTTCTTAAGTCATACTGTCAGAGGACTGAGTCAATATGTGTGGAATATTTACCCCCACACACATAATTGTTGGCCATTATTGTGTTACAGTCACGTGATGTCTACCTCGCTCACTCCCTCACCTTTCACAGGCCTCTGCTTAATTGTCACCTCTTCGTTGAGGCCATCTCTCCGCTGGGGCCATCTCTCCGCCTCCTTTTCTATTTGTCTCTGTGGTACTTGTCACTATGGGATGCTAAAGCATTTGCTTATCTATCTTGTTTTATGGTCCAACTGCCTCACTAGGAAGTGAACTTGATGAGGACAGAAATGTTTACCTACTGTGTCCCTTGATGTACTCACAGTACCCGCTACATAACTATAAATTCTCAAATATTTATTGAACGAATGAATGCCAGCAAAGTAGGTATTGCCATTGTCCCCATTTCCCATATGGGAAGATTGTGGCTCAGAGAAATATACTCATTGCTCATGGTCCCATCACTTGGTCAGGACTTGAGCCAGGATTCGAGCCCAGGGATGCTCAACCCCAATGACAGACTCTTGGCTTTCATAAAAACTCAGAGGCAGGTGGAAGCTAGTTCTTGCTGGATCTGACCAGATCATATCAGCCACTCCTTTTGTGACCAGGGTGGGGTGAGTCCTGAGATAACATCAGTATCCCCTTTGCCAACATGTTCATAGGACAAAACAGAAGTGAATAGGAGTCACACAGCCCCAGGGTCAGCAGGCATTGCCCAATAATGTTGTCTTTGTACATCTGCCTCTGCTCTAGCTGTCCCTGTGCCTGCATTGGACCTTCCCAGCCAAGGCCAACACCTTCTGGGTCAGATCCTTGGGCTCTAATCCCAGATCTTTCATCTTTGAAGCTGAATGATGCTTCATCTCTTTTGGCCTCCATTTCCTGCTCTATAAAACGGAAACAGTCAACTCACCCACTCAGGAGTGTTCAAAGGCAGCAACTGGATTACTGGTTGGTGCTACAAAACTATGCCCATCTGTAAGGACCTCAAGTCCAAAGGGGAAGTCTGAGTTAAACTACCAGGTAACAAATGTCTTTCACAGGAGGTGGTAGTTGTTTTCTGAAGTTGGGATTTTTCCAGGGAAAGAAGGGCATCCCCAGCAAGGGAATGACCAGAATGAAATCCGGAGGTGGAAAAGAATATCCTGTTTGTGAAGAGAGGGTATTCATTTAGAGAGGCAACTTAGATGAGGTGTTTGAACTTGGTAAAAATTTAACTCACTCTGATGTTTCACTCCTCAATATTTCAATTGTCAAACTTTACTCCTGAAATATTTCATAGTGCTTCTCTAAAACTAAAAGCATTAAGCATTTTCCTATACGGCTAAAGTGTCATGATTGCATTTAATCAATTAATGATAAGAATTCTATAATATTGACCTTTGCTCAGTTAATAGTCAGATTGTCTCAGTTGTCCCACAAGTGTCCTCTACAGCTAGTTTATCCAAGTCAGGACTCTCCAGGACATGACATGTCCTATCATTATGTCCTTTAAGTACTCTTTGATCCATTTAAAAGAATAATCCTATGAACAGGAGAGTAACTGACTGGATCTTGCCGGATCATATCAACCACTCTTGGCTATGACAAATCTCATTATAGTTTGAGGACTTTGGGAAGGGGCTTGGCTGATATAGGGAGTTGGGGGCACTGTTCTGATTGTGTTTGGGGTAAAAGGAAGGGCCATTTAGCTTTGGTCAACTGGAGAAGGCTCAAGGCCTCTCTGTGCAGGAGACATAGATGTGGCTCTGGAGGGTCCTAGAGGAAGACAGCTTCCTGAGCTGAGATGGGGCTCTGGGCCTCCTGCTTACTGTCAGGCGAGGGAGAAGACAGGAGGTTCAGTGGCCTCTGCAACCATAAACCAGTTTTTTTGTTTTGTTTTGTTTGGGCACTGGGGATTGAACCCAGGGGCACTTAACCACTGAGCCACATCCCCAATCTTTTTGTTGTATTTTTATTTGAGACAGGGTCTCATTAAATTGCTTAGGGCCTCAGGGCTGGGGATGTGGCTCAAGCGGTAGCACGCTCGCCTGGCATGCGTGCGGCCCGGGTTCGATCCTCAAAACCACATACAAACAAAGATGTTGTGTCCACCGATAATTAAAAAATAAATATTAAAATTCTCTCTCTCTCTCGCTCTCTCTCTCTCTTTAAAAAATAAAATAAATTGCTTAGGGCTTCACTAATTTGCTAAAACTGGCTTTGAACTGTGCTCCTCCTGCTTCAGCCTCCAGAGCTGCTGGGATTACAGGGGTATGCCACCACACCTAGTTTATAACCAGCTTTAAATTGTTGACATTTTAAAATTTCTTTCTCATTTTTCTTTTTGACACTGATGATAGAACTCAGGGCTTTGTGCATATTCAGCAAGTACTCTACCACTGAGCTACATTTTCAGCTCATTTTTAAATTTATTTTGAGGCAGTCTCATTAAATTGCCCAAGCTGACCTCAAATTTGCAATCCTCCTACTTCAGCCTCCTGAATAGCTGGGATTACAGGTGCATAATCCCACTGCACCCAGCTAATTTCATTTTTTAAAAAATTAGTTAATGGAGCTGGGCATGGTAGTGCACACCTATAATCCCAGCTGCTCTGGAGGCTGAGGCAGGAGGATTGTGAATTCAAAGTCAGAATCAGCAAAAATGAGGTGCTAAGCAACTCAGTGAGACCCTGTCTCTAAATAAAATACAAAGTAGGGCTGGGGATGTGGCTCAGTGGTAGAATGCCCTGAGTTTAATCCTGGGTACAAAAAAAAAATTTTTGGTTAATGGGTTAGAGATGTAATTCAGTGGTAGGGTGCTTACCTAGCATATATAAGGTTCGGGGTTCAAGCCCAAGTACTGCCCCCGCCCAAAGGCAACACTTTCACAAAACTGTAAAAAAAAGTTCTGTGCTAAGCTGGAGGTGTAGCTCAATGATAAAGTGTGCCCCTAGCACGTATGAGGGCCAAGTTCCATCCACAGCTCCAAAAATTAAAAGTGAAAAATTAAATGCTAAAATGTCCTGCCTGCTCCATCCCTCTGCCACCAGTCTCCCCATGAAGACCGTCCCTGTGTCCAGTCTCATATCTTCCTCCAGGAACGATGTATGCATATACAAATAAATATGTTCTCCCCCACATCTTTTAAATTTTTTTCTTCTGAAATTTGTACAATTTGTACAATTATAGAAGAATTTCCTCATTTTTTGCAATTTCTGCTGTAATGCACATAGTTACACAACTTGCTATTATAAATCCCACAGACTCTCCAAATCAGTGTGCATAAAGTCGCTCATGCTTTCCACTGGATGATGAAACCATGTGTATTTACCCAGCAGCCTCCTGTGGACAGATGTGGGTTTGATTCATATATTCAGACACAACAAGGAGGCCCGTAAGGATCTTTAGGTCTGGTAAGACCTGTGTCAGGCAGCTAGAAAACCTGGTTAAGACTGAGGGTGGAGACACCCAACAAGGAAAAGTAAAAGATGTGCTAGAATCTTTTGCATGTGTTATATCTTATGTGAAATGGAGAATACCTTTTGTTTTTTATTTTTAAAATTTTGGGGTACTGGAGATTGAACCCAGGGATGCTTTACCACAGAGGTACACCTCCAGCCATTTTTAGTTTTTGTCTTGAGACAGGGTGTCACGGAGTTGCTTAGGATCTTGCTAAGTTACTGAGGCTGGCCTTGAATTTATGATCCTCCTGTCTCCATCTTCCAGATCACTGGGATTACAGATATGTGCCACCATGCCTGAGGAGAATACCTTTCATTGATGGGGAAAGGAAAGCTCAGAGGTTAAGTGATTTATCTGAGTTCACACAGCAAAACATGGTAGGGCTTTGATGCCAACTACCATTGTCTTTCTCCTACCCGTTTTTTTTTTTTTTTGGTGGGGGGATACCAGGGGCACCCAAGCACTGAGCCACATCCCCAGCCCAATTTTGTATTTTATTAGAGACAGAGTCTCACTGAGTTGCTTAGCACTTCACCATTGCTGAGACTGGCTTTGAACACCTGTCTTAGATTCCCAAGCAGCTGGGACGACAGGTGTGTGCCGCGCCCAGCCCACTACCCATTTTTATAACAGTGAAGGTGAACACTGTTTTGTTCATACAATCCCAGATGCTCAAAGGATAAAGTTGAAAGGATGGTCAGGGGGAAGAGATTTGAATTTTAAAAAGAGGCAAGGGTGTACCATCTAAAAGCAGTGCTTAGCTGGGTGCAGGGGTACATGCCTACAATCCCAGCGACTTGGGACATGAAGACAGGAGGATCACTAGTTCAAGGCAAGCCTCAGAAAATGAGTAAAACCCTGACTAAGGATATAGCTTAGTGATAAAGCACCTCTGGGTTAAATCCCCAGTACAATCAATCAATGCATGATTATTAGAGATCATTTTGGAAGTGCTAAAAGGTTAAAAAAGCAAACAAAAACAAATTTCCGGGCTGATGATGTAGCTCAGTGGTAGGGTTTGCCCTGGGTTCAATCCCCATTACCCAAGAGAATAATAAGTAAAACAACATTGTGACGTATTTCTGTCTAATCATTTTAAATGTCTAGTCTTTCTTTAATGCATAATTAAAAACTTGAGGTCCAGTGTATAATAGTTGTCAAAACATATGTATTAAACATGTAGAAGAAAGTAAAATGTTACGTGATGGGCTGGGGCTGGGGCTCAGTGGTAGAGCGTTTGCTTAGCACAGGTGAGGCACTGGGTTTGAGCCTTAGCACCTATTTGGTGCTATTTATTATTTATTTTTATATAAAATAAAGTAAAGGTATTATGTTTACCTACAACTAAAAAGTACATTAAAAATGTTACATGACAGATGTTTTAGGGAATCTCTTAAATTGGACTAAGCTGAAGATAGAACCTTCTAGAAATCACCTTCCCTCATGAGTAATTAAGGACTCTACTAGAATCAGCCAATCAGTAATCATCTACTGAGCATATACTATACGTTAGGTATCCTTCTGGGTGCTTGGGGACTCTGCAGAGGACAAACAAGACCCAGTCCCTGTCCTCATAGAGCCCACAGTCCAGTGGAGGAGGGAGTTAACTATAAAAGGATAAATTACTAGGGATAAATGAGCCTTTAAATTGGGCATATGAAGAGCTGCAGAGAGCCAGGCGTAATGGTGCTCCCCTATGATCCCAACAGTTTGAGAGGCTGAGGCAGGAGGATCGAGAGTTCAAAGCCAGCCTCAGCAACCTAGTTAAGACCCTGTCTCTAACTAAAACACAAAAGGACTGGGGACGTGGCTCAGTGGTTAAGCGCCCGTGGGTTCGATCCCTGGTACCAAAAAAATTTTTTAAAAAAGATCTGCAGAGAAGTTTGGAGGTCTGTGGGGCAATAAACTATTGCCCAAATCTCATCTTAAGGGTCAGAAGGTCCAGCTGAGATTAGAAAGCTGAGGGAGAAAAGGTGGCTGGGAGGGGTAAGGGAAGAGCATGCTGTGGACCAAGGCAGGACGGCAGGGGCCAGGCATGTCAGGAACTGCAGGGAGGTCAGCAGCTTCCATCAGAATTATGCCCAGAACCCCAAGGGTTTGCATCTCTTTTTACAGTTGAGGAAACTGAGGCTCAGAGATGTCCAATGACGAGCTGTATCCATACCACAGGATAAGAAGAGCTGAGCTTGAACCCAGATCTCACTGGGGAGCCATCATTATTTCCCTTCCCTGAGTGGTATTAGAATGAGGAATGGGGAGAGGGGACAGGTTCAAAGGGGGTGTCCAAAAAGAAGCTACGAGCCCGTGATGCCAGAGTAACCATTTTCTTTTGTTTCTGCAGCTATGGAGTCAAAATCCGGGCCCCTCACGCACTGGTCATGACCTTCCTCTTCAGGAGTGGCAGGTACCACCCGTTCTGGGCACCCTTCAAACCAGTTCCACCCTCTGTGCCAGGAAGATAGTAGTGCCTGGCTGGGTCGAGCCTGGGCCCTGCCGTACCTAACTCCAGCTCCGGTCCCACGTCCTTGCTTGAAAATGCCCAGGCTCCCCACTGTTTCCAAAGAAGTCCAACTTCCAGGCCTGGCCTTCAGTGCCTTCTGTAGCCTGGCCTCAGCTCTGTCCCCACTCTGTCCACCCAGGGATGCCCTGGGCACACAGAGCTCCCTACCTTTCCATGCACTTACCACAAGTGGTTCCACTTCCATTTGCCCAGCTCCACCCACCTCCAGGATGCCCTGTCCTCCTCCTCCACACCTTTACTTCCCTCCTGTCAACCTACACCTGCTCTTTGTGGCTCTGTCCTCTGCAAAGTTGTCTCTGATCCCTCCTCTCTCACTTAAGCATCTCTGCCTTCCTTCTGATCTCCCATAACTCTTCCCTTCTCAGAAGACATCTTGTGGTGCAATAACCTACCTGGAGCTTGTAGGGGTCACAGAAGCTCCTACCAACCACGTCCAACTCACAAGAGTTTCTCATTTTGTATTTTTATTTTGCTGGTTTATTTTTGTTTGGGCTTTTAACCCTCTGAACTTTTTTTTTTTTTAACTGATTCATTTAACAAATGTTTATCAAGAGGACAGGGATTGTGAGGGAAAAGGTGAGGAAAATATTTATTTACTTAACTATAAAATATTTATTTACTATGTGCCAGACACTATTCTAGGTACCAGGGATACGACAGGGAACAAAACTACGATTGTGGCGCTGTGATTGCAGCAGCTCAAGAGGCTGAGACAGGAGAGACAGCAGGTTCAAAGCCAGCCTCGGCAGCTTAGCGAGGCACTAAGCAACTCCATGAGACCCTGTTTCTAAATAAAATACAAAATAGGGCTGGGGATGTGGCTCAGTGGTTGAGTGTCCTGAGTTCAATTCTCAGTACCAAAAACAAAACAAAACAATGATTCCTGCCTTCCTAGAGCTTATCTTCTAGCAGCAGGTGGCAGAAAGCCAGCATAATAAATAAAGAAAGCAGATGGAGTGTCAGGGTGAAAGAGACTGTGGAAAAGAAAAATTGGAGCAGGAGAGGGAAGAGTGGAGGGTGCTGTAGGCAGGCAGGCTGCCAAATTCAGTAGTGAGAGCTTCCATGAGAAAGTGATATTGGCAGCCGAGCACAGCGGTGCGGGCCGGTAATCCCAGCGGCTCGGGAGGCTGAGGCAGGAGGATCACAAGTTCAAAGCCAGCCTCAGCAAAAGCAAGGTGCTGAGCAACGCAGTGAGACCCTGTCTCTAAATAAAACACAAACTAGGGGTGGGGATGTGGCTCAGTGGTTGAGTGCCCCTGAGTTCAATCCCTGGTATCCCCTACCCCCCAAAAAAAACAAAGAAAATGACAGTGGCCTTATGACTAGAGTGGGTGAAAGAGCTGGCCAAGCAGTCACCAGGGGAAGGAGCATTCGAGGGTGCTAGAACGATCAGCGCAAAGACTCAGGTGGGATCATGCCCAGTGAATCTGAGGAGGCAGGAGCTGTGTGGTTGAAGGGGAGAGGACAGAAGAGGGTCACAGCAGCAACCTGGGTCAGGCCTGTCCAGCTTAAGGCCAGAGAGAGGAATTCGGCTTTTCCTTTAGTAAATCAGGAAGCTGTTGTAAGATTTTAAACAGGAGTTGCCATTGACCCCCTCCATGGGGATGGGGGTCTTGCTGTGTTGTCCAGGCTGGCCTCAAACTCCTGGCTTCGATCCTCCTGCCTCAGCCTCACAAGTGGCTGGGACTACTGGCACATGCCACTGTGTCTGGCTTATCTGACTTACTGCAGTGGTGTGAGGGTTACTAATGTGCAGCCAGGTTAAGAAGAGATTGGCAGGGGAGGTGGGAGTGGCACCGGGCCAGAGTAGGTGTGTACATAGGCTGACAGTGGTGCCACAGACTGTCAGGGAGAGGCCAGCTGCTCAGGAGGCTGAGGCAGTAAGATCACGAGTTCAAGGCCATGCAACATAGCGAAAGCCTGTCTCAAACAAACAGAAGTAGGTGTCCATTAGGAGACAGGGGCAGTGACCTAGGTGAGCAAAAACTGGCCCGGACTGAGATTTCACAGGGAAATCCAGCTTTCTTTCCTTAGAACTGACAACACTGGGACCCATGTTCCGGTGGGGCGAGAACCAGCTGCTCCTGGCAAATTTCCACTGGGCCCAATGGACCCACCTCACTCCTTTAGGGTCCTTGAGGGCTCTCGGATGTGGTATTCCTGATTGAGAGGTGTACACTCGGCTTCCCCCTGCCATCTCTTTACTGCCACCTAGTGGGGGTTTTTTGTTTTGTGGGTTTAACCCAAGGTCTCATATATACTGGGCATGCGCTCTACCACTGAGATCCATCCCCAGCCCTTTTTATTTTAATTTGAGATAGGGTTTTGCTAAATTGCCTCCAATTTGCCATCCTCTTGCCTCAGCCTCGCCAGTAGTTGGGATTACAGGCTTGCTGCGGTTCCCAGCGCCCCCTAGTGATCCTCAAAAGAATCACCTCTATTAAACCGGTCCCCTTTCAGGATGAAGACAAAGCTCAGGGTGGTCCCCTCCTCCTGCTGCCCTGCATCATTCTCCCCGCACATTCTCTACTCATAGCCTCAGTGGTCTCTCTCTGTTCCTTTACCCCATGCTCTGTCCCTCCTCAGGGACTCTGCACATGCCGAGTCCTGTGCCTGGGATGGTCCTCTCTCCCCACCTGACTTCATTGATTCCTCCCCATCTTTCAGACCCTGGTGCCATCTTTTATCAAAGTTGGACCTCATTTTGTCATTATGACATAGTCCCCTCATAATTCCCATGAAGGCAGCAAGCATATTGGGTTTTTCTTGGAATCATGTCCCCAGACCCGGCACAAACTGGGGAGACAGCCACTCTTTCATTTCTTCACATGTTCAAAAAGTTTTGTTTTGTTTGGTACCAGGGATTGAACTCAGGGGCACTCAACCACTGGGCCAAATTCCCCAGTCCTGTTTTGTGTTTTATTTAGAGACAGGGTCTCACTGAGTTGATTAGCGCCTCACTTTTGGTGAGGCTAGCTTTGAACTCAAGATCCTCCTGTCTCAGCCTCCAAAGCCACTGGGGTTACAGGCATGCACCACTGTGCCCAGCACAAAAAGTATTTTTTTTAAGACCTACTATGTGCCCGGCCCTGTCCTGGGCCCTGCAGATGAGTAAGCCAGATCTGGACACTACCTTCCAGGTGTGGGGGCAGGGATAATGGAACATGACACAAACCAGGAAAGGTCAGGTGGTGAAAAGAGCCATGAAAAGAAAGCAGGGTATGGGCACAGGGTGTGGTGGCATTCCCTGTGTGGGTGTCAGGGACCAGGTGGCAGTAGTGAAGGCCCAATCTGTTGAGAGAGCTGCAGTCTAGGCTTAACGAGCTTCTGCCCCAAGCTTCTGCCCTTGAGCTCCTCGCCTAGTTGAGTTTCAATGTGTGTGATGGGTAACTGCCCTTGGAACAGCTGGGCTCACTCTCACGGGAGCTCCCTGTGTCTGTGCAGCCTCCGGGACAAGCTGCGAGCCATTCTGCAGGCCACCTACACCCACTCCTGGAATCTGGCTTGCTTCGTGTTTGTCTACAAGGGCCTCTGCGCCCTGCAGGCCCACACACAGGGCAAGACCTACCAGTCGCACTCATTCCTGGCTGCCTTCATCGGGGGCTTCCTGTTGTTTGGAGACAACAATAACATCAACAGCCAGGTAAAAATCCCCCTCAGGTGGGGCTGGGGGGCGGGACAAAGTTTGGGTATAAAGCTCAGGGTGGGAGTTGAAGATGAACCCTTGACTATCTTCCATGTCTGAGGTCTGTGACTGGCCAGTCCTTGGAAGGTCACTTCTCCCCTCTGTTTCCCCATGTGTAAATCCAGCAACTGCCTGGAACTCATGTCTCCCAAGTCAATGTTACATTGCTCTCTAGGGAAAATAAATTGTTTTTTAAAAATTTGCTCTGTAAACTGGGCACAGGTGGCACACACCTGTAATCCTGGTGGCTCGGGGGGCTGAGGCAGGAGGATCACAAGTTCAAAGGTACTAATGCTTTGACAGATATAGTTTCATAAGTATCTCTCTCCTTCTCTCATCTATAGCTATTCTTCTTCTTCTTCTTTTGGTACTAGGGATTGAGCTCAGGGCCAGTTACCACTTTACCACTGAGCCACATCATTTGTTTGTTTGTTTCTATTTGTTCTAATTAGTTATACATGACAGTTGAATGCATTTTGACACATCATACATAAATGGAGTATAACTTCTCATTCTTCTGGTTGTACGAGATGGAGAGTTACACAGGCTGTGTAATCATATATACACATAGGGTAGTAATGTCCAGCTCATTCTATCATTCCTACCCCCATGCCCCCTCTCTCCCTTCACTCCCCTCTGTCTAATCCAAAATACCTCTATTCTTAACCCCCCTTTAATTCTCAGACAAGGTCTCCTGGGCGTGGTGGCTCATGCCTGTAATCCTAGCTGCTCAGGAGGCTGAGACAGGAGGATCAGGAATTCAAAGCCAGCCTCAGTGAAAAGCGAGGCACTAAGCAACTCAATGAGACCCTGTCTCTAAATAAAACACAAATCCGGGCTGGGGAATTTGGCCCAGTGGTTGAGTGCCCCTGAGTTCAATACCTAGTACCTGCCCCCTCAAAAAAGAAAAAAAAAAAAAATACCGTTTGTCACTGATTTGCTTAGGGCCTCACTAAGTTGCTGAGACTGGTCTCAAACTGGTGATCCTCCTGCCTCAGCCTCCTGAGTCTGGGATCACAGGCATACACTGTCCTGGCTCCAGCTCTTCTTTTCAATCTCTTCACATGGACTTTCACAGAGAAAATTTTTTAATTTCAAAGAGATTCAGTTTATCAAAATTTCCTGTTGTGGATTATATTTTTGATATCAAGTTACCTTTTGGTTTTGAACCAGGTATATTTATTTAAAAAAAAAAAAATACATAGTGAAAAAGAGTAATAAATAGCAGACAACTAGAAATCCTAGATGTCAGCCACCTGCCGCCTCACACCATCTTGCACACCTACTTTGAGAAGCCCTGGGCCCCAGCCCAGGAGAGGCCCCGGTGTGGGGGCTGGGGTGGGAGGAGGGTTCCCGGGGGCCATGTCCGTGAGTAACCCGGGCACCCCTCTCCGCAGATCAACATGTACCTGACGTCGCGTGTCCTCTTCGCGCTGTGCCGCCTGGGCGTGGAGAAGGGCTACATCCCGGAGCTCCGGTGGGACCCGTTCCCTCTCTACACAGCAGTGGTTTGGGGGCTTGTCCTGTGGCTCTTTGAGTATCACCGGCCCACGCTGCAGCCCTCGCTGCAGTCCTCCATGACCTACCTGTACGAGGACAGCAACGTGTGGCACGACCTCTCGGACTTCCTCATCTACAACAAGAGCCGCGCTTCCAAGTAGGCGGCTCCCAGGTGCTCACCCCGGCCCCGCAGGCACCTGGCGAGCTCCGCTGGGCGCCGTCAGCACACCCTCCAGAGGGTCCTGCCTTCTGGAAGTCAGGCCTCACACTCCGACTTGGCTCATCCCAGGGCTCCATTTGTGGAAGGAAAAGCACAGATTTTCACGACTCAGTAGGTACTTTGAACCGTGCGACAGACGGCTGAGTCAGGTTGAGGAGTCCTGGGCTTGATTCCAGCCACGCTGCTGCCCTCCATGACCAGGGAAGGTCTCTGGGCTTCAGGGGTCCTTGAGCCCAGAAGAGGATCCTTAGAGAGGGTCTCTTTCTGGTGGGTATGTTCATTCTTCCACTGTTCTTCTGTAACAGAAGGCACCTGGATGGTGGGCAGCGGGTTGCAAATACTTTTTAAAGAAATACGAAGTTCCTCTCTCTGGTGTTGTATTGGAGAAGTTCTAGAACCGCACTGTCCAGTAGAAACATAATGTGAGTCATACATGGAGTTAGATTTTTTTCTAGGGCTGGGGATGTAACTCAGTGGTAGGGAACTTGTCTAGCCTTTGTGAGGCCCTGGGTTTAATCCTCAGTGCTACCAGGAAAAACTTTTTTTTCCCTAGAAGCCAACATTTAAAAAAAAAAAAAAAAAAATAGAAAGAAACAGATGGGATTAATTTTAATTATATATTTTGACCTAATGTTAACAAAACATTATAACTTCAACAAATGATTATCATAGTGAGATATTTTACCATCTTTTTTCTTATACTAAGTCTTCAAAATCAGGTGTGTGGCCAGGCACAATGGCACACACCTGGAATCCCAGTGACTCGGGAGGCGGGGGCAGGAAGATTGCAAGCTTGAGGACAGCCTTGGAAATTTAGCAAGACCCTGTCTCAAAATAAAAGAAAAAGGACTAGGGATGTAGCTCAGTGTAGAGTGCCCCTGGGTTCAAACCCCAGTACTCCCCCCCAAAAAAAAAATCAGTGCATATTTAATACTTCCGATACACCTCAGTTTGGATGAGCTACATTCCAGTACCCAGTAGCCACATGGGGTTAGTGGCTTCCATATCAAGCAACACAGATACAGAACACTTCTATTCCCGAAGAAGTTTCTAGTGGACAGTGCAGATCTAGAGCTGGAGGATATGACTTTTGTGCTCCCACTCCACTGTGAACCCTTGGGGAAGGTTCTCGACCTCTCAGAGCCTCAATTTCTCATAAAATGAGAATAATCATAATAATACCCAGTGTCCACATTGGACTCTTACAACTACAACTTCTGCCACTACTATTGATTCCTTCCACTTAGTGAGTTCTAATTTCCTCCTGGGTGCTTTGCATATTTTTATTTTTAATCCAAACAGTGACATTGCAAGTGTGTCTGTTGATCCCCATTTTATGGATGTAAAAACTGAGGGTCAAAGAGAGGAGGTAACCTGCCCAGGGAAATATAGTTCAGGTAACAGCCAAATCAGTATTTGAACCCAGATCTGCCTGATTCCGAAGCCCATGTCTTTTTTAGTGCCTTGTTTAAAATTTTGATGCTATGCCATGCAAATAGTAGCTAGTCATAGGATCTGGCCCCAAAGGGGTACCAACTCAGATGCCTGCAGTCGTTCCTAGTGGCATAAATGGAAATGTTTGGGGTGCTCTGCAGTGGAGAGTGACAGGCACAATGGATCAGAGCCTGGGTGCCAGTGGAATTTTTTCAAACCACTGTGCAGAACAAGTCTCCAGGAAGACATGGTCCATAGGCTATCAGTCTGGGACCCTCGGTCTACTAGGAATACTTCCATTAACACACATACCACTTCCATATCCTTTTGTATCTTAGAAGTTACTAGAAATGTCCATAGACGTCACTAGAGAGCTTGTAAAAATGTAGATTCTGATGGATTGGGTCTGGATTGGGGATCAGACAGGCTCCCCCCTGCGGACTCCCAGATGAGGTTGGTGCCACAGCCCTGAGCCCCACCCCAAGTAGCAGGGTGGTGTGGGGCATGACAGAGCCATCCATCATTATCCCCTGTGACCAGTGCGTCACAGTGTGGGGTGACTGAGGTGGGATCATGTCAGATTGGACAGGCAGTGCTCCTAGCACGGTTGACTGCAAGCTCAGGGGAGGTGATTCTGGAGCTCCTTGCCCTCACTGTGGAGGCGTCCGGGGGGTGGTCGGGCCATCTCAAAGCAGGTTGTACTGATGAGGTGGTGGGGAGCGTGACCTGCTCCACCTCCTCCAACCTGCCACTTCCACGCAACCAGCCACCTCTCCTGTTGCCACCATCTCCTGCCTGAGAATTCGCCTGTCACTGGGTTCCGCTTCTCCAGCTGCAGCTCCCCCTCTGGGCGGGGAAACCCTAGGCTTGAGCCCTGTGCTGGCCCCCAGAGCTCCCCAGCTGGCTGGAGCCTCAGGAGACCACAGTGGGCTGGCTCAAAGCCACGCCCTCCCAGCGCCCTTTCTTGAGCCTCTGCCAGTGCTTCCTGGGCCCCGGCCCCCACCCCCACCCCCCGCAAACCACTCAGGCCCTTGCCTCAGGGTCTGCTGTTGGGGAACCCCAAACTAAAATTGGCCTCTGTACAGCAGGTGGAGAGCGAGCATGACATGGCAGTTAGGGACATGGGCTTTGGAACCAGACCGCCTGGGCTCAAGACCTGGCCTGGCCCCTCTTGGGCAAGTGACTGACCCTCCGTGCCTCTGTCTCCTCATCTGTAAAGTAGCTTTGTAACAGCTCCTGCCTTGGAGGGTCTGGGTGATTAATTGATTCGACATATAAAAGTGAACACTCAATAAACGTCGTGGTTATTTCTAACATGGCGTCTGATGCAGATGGATGCGAGGTCCTGAGAACTGAGTGCACCCCGCTCTTAGCCTGCCCTGCTCCCTGGCCTTGGCCGCCTGCCCTCCTGGGTCCCCCCACTGCTGTGGGGTAGGTCTGCTCCACCACCGACTGTCTCTGCTCTCTAAGAATAGGTTTCCCTCACAGATGGCATCTCCCTGGATCCTGTCAGAGCATCTGCTGCCTCCAACTGCACTCGCCAGGGAGGAAGGCGGTGGGGTGGTCCCTGCCAGGGAGCAGGACTCTGCCTTCCAGCAGCCGAGGAAGAGCCCTCAGCTCCTTCCTAGCTGGGCCTCCATTTTCTTTATACTTTTCTTTTTTGAGGGAATGCCAGGGATTGAACTCAGGGGCACGCAGCCACTGAGCCACTTCCCCAGCCCTATTTTGTATTTAATTTAATAAGAGACAGGGTCTCTCTGAGTTACTTAAGATCTCACTAAGTTGCCGAGGCTGGGTTTGAACTCTCGATCCTCCTGCCTCAGCCTCCCAAGCCACCGGGATTACAGGCGTGTGCCGCTGCCCAGCTGAGTCTCCATGTTCTGTGATCTGTGAAACGGGATGGCCAAAGGACGCTCGACCAGGTAGCCACTTACTGTTCCCGAATGCTAGCTCCTGAAACAGCATCCTGGTTTAACCTGTATTTACTTAAGTCTTTTGACATGCAAAACTATAAAAAAAAAAAAACTTTAAATCAATTATACGGACACATAGTACAAAACTCAAATGGTATAAAAAATGTGTAATGGAAAAACCAGGTTCCCTCCTACACTTAAGCTCCACTCCAGATGCCTCCTCTGCCAGGGGCGCCCACTCTCAGCACTTTCCGAAAATACACAGCCACCTCTCCTTGTCTCATAAGAGACTGTACATTGCAATGTCATCTCACCTCTTTGGTATTTCCTTCCTTGTCCTCTGTGTGTTTGGTTTCTCTTTGGTTAATAAACCAGTATAAAAGTGAGTCTGTGGGCCTGGCCTGTCCCTTTGCCCCCAAGTCTACCTCCGGAATAGCTTGGGAAGTCCTGCTTGTGATCAGTGCAATAGTAAACCACCCTGGACATCCTGAGCTTCCATGTAGATGGCGCCCAATGTTCCGGTCCCAGAACGCCAAGTGAAAAAGGAAGGACAAAGTGAAGTTAATTTGAGGCCCTTCTGCTGCTCAGCTCCCAAATTAGAGCTGGCTGAGCGAGCCCACGGGAGAGCGATGATTCATGTGCTGAGCCGCCAAGAAACTGCCTGTGTTTGGTGCTGGTCGCTCTGGCCGTCCACACCCGCGCTCCAGAAAGGATCCTGGGGGGGCATCTCCGTCCACGCCGCCGACCACTCTTCCTGCACCGTGACTGCACTTTGGCTTTGAAGCTGGCATTCCCCCAAACCAGGGCACCTCATGTGCTCCACCTCCTGGAACCAGCCCACAAACCCACAACTGTGACTTCAAATGGCCGCTTTCTTTGACAAATTAGAGGGTATTTATAAAAAGAAACGCTTTTTTTTCCCTCTCCTTTTCTTGTTCCAGTTTCCCAGGGGGAGAATGTCTGTCTTTAACCTTAAAGGGCTTTTTTTTTTTTTTTTTTGGTAAATGGGATTGAACCCAGGGTCTAGTGCCTGCTACGCACACACTCTACTTCTGAGCTACACCCACAGTCCGACAATATTAAATTTTCTGTTTCTAATTTAAATTATTATTATTATTATTATTATTCTGATACTGGGATTGAACTCAGAGGTGCTTGCTGTACACTGAGCTGCATGCATCCTCACCTTTTTTTTTTAATTTTTTTTTTTTTTGGTTGTACTTGGACACAATACCTTTATTTTATTTATTTATTTTTGTGCTGAGCCACAACCCTAGTCCCCCTTTTTATTTTTTTATTTTGAGACAGGGTCTCGCTAAATTGCTCAGGGCCTCGCTCATTTGTGGAGGCTGGCTTTGAACGTGATCCTCCTGCCTCACCCTCCCAAGCTGCTGGAGTTAGAGGTGTGCACCACCGTGCCCCAGCCTGAAGGGCATTTTTGAGTGAGGAGGTTTGGGTTTTCAGCAGAAGGCCCCTTTTAGGACTCACTGTACTGTAGGTAGCAGGAAGCCAGACTGGCCCACTTAGAGGACAAAGAAAGACTGTACTCTTTTCTGGTGTTGATTTGAGGAGCTTCCCAAGGGAGGACTCTCTGTTTTCTATACCAGAACTCTGTGCTCAACGCTGCTGTGGATGTCGTGATTTAATAAATGAGACAAAAACCAGGCAGAATCGAAACGCAGGTCCCAGGACTGGTGTAAGAAACCCTGATCTCATTGCTCTTCCGGGCTTCTCCCTGGAGCCTCTGCCTGTGAGCTGCATGTCAGCTGAGAGTAGGACCCGGGCCAGGCCACATCAGCTCTTTTAAGACACTTCTTTTAGAGTGTCTTTGTTTACGTGTGTCATGAACCCCTTTGGCATTTGGTGGAGCCTATCAACCCTCTTGAGTGCTGCTTCCAAAACCCATTCAGTAAAATACATAGGATTACAAGAGAGACCAATTATAATGAGTATTGAAATGGTTCTCAGAAACAATCTGTGTGTGTGTGTGTGTGTGTGTGTGTGTGTGTGTATGTGTGTTGGGAATCTAACACACTTGTTAGGCAAGCACTCTAATACTGAGCTATACCTTCAGCGCCCCTCCCCCATTTTTTTTTAAAATTCATGATAGGAATGTATGCTCTTACAAATATATTAAATGCAAGTTCTAGGGGCAGA